TAAGTTATAGTGGAATCTTGACGTGGCAGCGAGGCAGTAGGGCTGCGAAATGCGGGGGAACTGGACGCGTGCGGGTATTGATGAACTTTCTTGAGCTATTCATATAACTCGTAAACGCTGCGAGGAAAGAAATGAAGGATCTTGAATATAGACTTCATTCTAATGGTGAAGCAATGCAGATTAACGTTTACAAAGTTCGACCGAGATTGAAATGGAAAGCCAGCAACTAATATCGACCCCGAAGCCTCTTTAGGCGTTCTCTCCATACTATTACTTTTTTTTTCGTAAATGTTACAAAATGTGAATATATTATTATTATTATTATTTTTTATGTGAAACGCCGAAAGTTTTCAAATAATCTCCCCTATACAGAATATTCTGCAAATTCTTCTGCAATTTGTTCTGCAAATTGTTTCCGCTGAAAATCTTATAAGAAATCTCTAAAAGTAGATTACTGAGTCGATGATTGTAGGATAACAGAATTACAAGGCACGATGCATCTTATGATAAAATCAAATAATATTTTCAGTTAGTCCTATGTTGCGAAACTCCTAAACAGGTCTTTGAACGATCTACGCCAAAATTGGGCAGCACGTCAATAAATGTTTTTAAAAGTACGTTATAACTGGAGGTAAACAACAACCTTCGGCAACACAGAGCTGAATTATTTGTGCTTAGTTTTTTCGCTTCCGAAGACGAAAAAAAAACTCTGTTATTAAAAAAAACTCTGGTATTTTTTCACCATTTGAAAATATTTTATGGGGATTATTACCACAAAATTATTCAATGTACAGTAATATTCGATGCGACTTTTGAAGAAAGGTATTCTGTAGCACAATCTGTCAGCGTGCATTGCCACGTCCGCATCTTTCCTTTTTTTGCTTCCGCAAACGGGACCAGATTGGCAATGAGACCTTATCGGTTAGACGAAATCGACTCGATCAGAAGTCGGAACCAGTTGAATCGAATCAGAGTTTGGATTGCTAGGCTGATTTCTCCAAAGGGTGGAAAGTTACAAGTCCGCATTGTAATAGAAACAAGGCACGACTGCTTTTAGGCCCTGTTAGTCACACGTGAATAGCTTACTGGGGATATAGTATTGTACTTTACAGTTTGACTGGGCTTGGAGCACGTACGCGCCTGCCTGCCTGCCTGCCTGCCTGCGTGATGGTGCATATAGCTTCAGGGCATCATAAAAAAGTGCACGACAAAAACCATGAATAAAAAAATATAGGATTTTAAAGCACTAGGCGAAAACTGCGATTAAAAAGGATACCGCATCCAGACCACCTTACTTAACACACTTTTAAATAAGGAAAGAAAATAATCGTTACCTCAATAGCATGCAGACGAAGGATCCACAATAGAATGCAGGAGATTATATATATATATATATTTAGCCTCTTACACTCTCACACTAGTGACAATATTATTATATTTACACATAGAAACTGAGAGAGAGAGAGAGAGAATAAATTGTGAATGAAAGAGCTATGGAGTAGGTCCAGCCAATTAAACGTATTAATTGTTTAAACTTTTCCAATGCGTAGCACTTCACTTGACTTCGATTGCGAATGCAAACGAGGTCAATGCTTCCATCAAATAACTCCCACAGAAGATGAGCAATTTTGTTTTAATGAAAGTTTTTATTTTCTGTTGCCTGCCGTTATACGCTCGAACGATGAAGCTCGGCGTTAGAATGATCGACCATTTTGCCAACTGGACGGTCCTGATTTCGTAACTGGTCGAAGTCAATTCGTTTGAATCGCCGTTTTCTAAAGGACTAAAGAAAGCCCACTTTTCGACAGATGAGAGGCTCGAACGTTTCGGCGGAGAAACCCAACTACACAGCAACAGTTAAAGGTACGACGGTGAAAATAATACGATTTCGGTTGTAAAGTGGGAACGCAAGTGACACGTGACTGAAGGAAGCTAGTTCGGCAGCGCTTAATACAATCAACTTGGGTTTAATGAGAGAGAAAAGTTTATACCCGTATTTCGCATGATTCCATTTGATCGGAGTGAATATAATAGTAGGCCACATCCTTCAGGGGTTACCGCGCGCTCATAAACAATACGAATCAAACAGGAAACATTTGCGAGTGTCTTCTACATATATTTTAGGATGGCTCTGAAGGCAGAAGGTTTAATTAAACTCAGGAGTGTGATATCTAAAAAGAGTGTTCTATATACGCTCGGTAAATCTGATTAGGACTAATGATAAACTGAGTGAATGCAGAAGTTTCAAAATAGTTCTACTTACCAATTTCTCTCATTCTTTTATTTTTTTTGAGGATCAAATCACGGGAAAACGGTGGATAAAAAATTAAAGCTATAAGTGTTAATAATCGTTAAGCGTATACTATAGTAACCGAAGTAAATATTAAATGAAGATTGAGACTCAACTTAAACATCGTGGCTTCGCGAAACTTCGCGAAAAAACGCTTAATTATTTAACCGTATAAATAGTAAACAATAGTGATCGATTTGCAAGTATTTTCATTTATGTTTAGCGATCGGTTCAATCTGTATAAACAGTTTTTGGACAGATACGAGTACGTTTAAACTGATCATCGTCCTGTCAAGCGGCTAAACTCCACTAGCAGTATTATGGACACTGAAAGTCTTGCTTTTCTTTTGCTTATCTCTTTGTTGTTCATGTTTATACGTAAGTGAGCTTTCTGCTCGTAAAAACTAAGCTTGATAAAAACTCTCCTAGGCTAAGTAAATGTATGAGCGAAACCTTGAATACACGCGGTTGCCAGCAGCAATTTATATTGTCGTTGTTATTTTCTAAAGGCACTAGAGGCTGCACGATAAGCCCGTCATGCAGATAAAAAGTTACTTTCAATCCGCGATTCTGTGAGATAAGCCTCAGATAAACATAGTTATTTCAAATTAGCTTCAAACTTGTTTATAATGGCTATTAAGTGAAAAACATTAATTTCTCAATTACATTCAACCAGAAGTGCAAAGGACGGATTCTCTGATTTTTTTTAATAGAATTATTGCGTCTACAGTTTAGCACAGTATATGAATCTTTGGAAGGTCGCCGTATGGTTTCGACAAGCCGTACGTGATACGGTTGAAGCTCCTTTTTTTTTTATAAGTTTTTATATAAGAGTTTATAAGTGGCCACCTTCAACAACTGCACTTGCAATCTTAGTTGCTTGTCACAATAATACCAATTATTCTACCGATTTCCACAGTTTTTTTTTCAAATTTATAAGTTTCTATAACGCTAAATCGTGTTCGACCATTTTCTTTTCAAAATTGATGGTTGGCTTCATTGATCGTGCTTTACTGCTTAGCGTTTATGTCGTCGTTTTCGTCTTTAGTTCGTGTTTCCTTGTTCTGTTTTAATTCTCTGTCTGTTTTAAAACGTACAAAAGTGACCAACGCCTAGTAATTGTAAGTTATTCTTCAACTTGTATTTAAAGTCATGCGTTTAAGATACGTCTGTACATTAAAATCCTATTGGGCACAGCATATATCTAACGTTTAACATTAATCAATAAATAAGTATATACGGACCAGTCTATAGGCTATGAATCTGTTAACCAAATTCGGTCACAGCAATGACAGATTTTTCTTGTCCTAATAAGGCAAAAGCAAACTACTAACAGGAAAGATTCAGGCTCGCTTCTGACAGCGGGTATACGTTCTCAGGCAAACGACTGTACCTGGTACCTTCTGTAAAAGACCATCACAGCGCAGGACCTTGGTTCCAAGTCTAGCTCAACTGTTAATCGTCCACATAAGCGTACTGTCATCAGCACATCGTACTTGTTCCTTGTCGTGAAGCTTGTTTTACCTTACAAATCAATAAGCTAGCCGAAAATGCGTAAACAGTAGAAGGCTATATACCCAGGCGAAGTAACCCAGTCCGATCTGCCTTCGTAACAAACGTAATGACAATTATGTTCGTTATCGCATTAGGTAAGTGCGAAGCTAAGTTCGCTAACTATGAATTTGAAAGAGACCAACTTCAGGTGTTAATTTATTTGACGTTCCGTTGCATCGTCCACAGAGATGATCAACGACAGACCTTTTTTCGGGCTCTTCCTTCTCGTATTAAATCGCTTATCCTCCAAGCCTTACTACTGCATGGATTTGAAAATACATACAGAAGGGCCTGGATTATAAACATGAAGTAAAACAATGCCCGTCTAATGCTCAAAATTTTTCAGGTTGCCTAAGTCTTAGAGCTCCAATAGTTTTCATAGAAAAAAAATCATTAAGGACGGTCGCTTGCTTTTATAATTTTTTTTTTCTATGGAGTTTTTAACTTAGTTTAACCAACTCAGTCGAGTCACACTCTATGTGTATCATTGCACAAGCTCTATGTGTATCATTGCAAACCGGCGTTGTCCTACTTTAATTACGTTTATTTCATTTTAATAGATTTTACCAAAAATTAAGTAACGTGTTTTTCCCATTGGCAATGGTAAATTTACTGATTTTCTGTGTATGCATCTTTGCAGATAATTCGTGATGATGATTTGGCTAACAGCTTTCTTTGTCGTACAGATAGGGATCTTAAGTTTTCAAGCGTTTAAACAAATTTCAATAAACTAAGCTAACTACTGGGCCTTGACCTTTAACTCTGTATATAATATTGTTAAAAAGATGTTCAATTCCTTGGCTAGCTGATTTGAGTGCACAGAAAAAACTCCAACGGTAAGCATATATAAAGCACCAAACATACAAAAGGCCATAGAGAAAGCAAGTTTCAAACGAGAGCAAGCACGGCTAGAAAAATACAGATAACAAACCATTACATATCGCTGCAGTTACTTGCCAACTGGCCTGCTAAAAGGCCTTTGTGAATTCGTCATGTTATTTCAGATACACACTCTTTGGTAATTCGCGTTTGAAAAGGAGGAAAAAACTAAGCCTTTTTGCGGATATTTCGAAATTGTCCAACGTTCTTCTTTCTCACTTCCGTAATTGGCTAATTGTATTTGTTATGACACACGAGTAGTACACATAGTAGCATATATAGGTGAAGACTATATGCACGCGATTTTTATTGAGATTGCATTTATTCTTAGATAATTCACCGTCCCACAAAGTTACACTTCTTTTTACAGGATCTTGCGTAGGTCGCATTTCACTGGATAACGAAATATCTACAGACAGGTGCACCAAGCGCGGTTACTCTCGCTGCTGTTTCGTGTCATCGACCTTTCGGTGATGATTGGCTATGGTAACTAGATACAGCGTAGATTGTTGTTATTTACCATCTTAATCTATTCATACAATATGTCAGTCGCTTCAGACCTTCTCCATTCCACCTCGTACCTCTACATTGTGTGTAGTGTCCGTTATTTGAACATTGCGAAGCCCCTACTCTTCTTAATGATCGTTTTATAATCGATCTATCTACGCGACGTCAGCTTACTAAGTGTGTCCCATTTTCTCAAATATCTTGTCGGCAATACGTGAGCGACGAACACAGATTCATCCAATCGGTCCATTCAAGTCATCATTAAAGTGACACGCTCACCACCATCACGACGCATCGTACGTAAACAGCGTTTAAGCAGATTCTGACGACACCTGATCAGCTAGCGATATTCGACGTAATGAGTAGTTTGAGGTGATTCAAATGACGACAGCAGTGATTTCGAAGAACAGGAAGCTTAAACATTACAATAAATATATAAACACACTTCCGCTAAGAAGGAACGAAGAGGGCAAAAGATAGAATAATGACCGTTCCATGTCGTTGTTGTTGTTGTTGCTGCTGCTGCTGCTGCTGCTGCCCTAAAATTCAATAATCGATCTTCTGACTAAATTAGTGGCATGTAAATCAGGACTCGGGTGCAGATCACTCGTAACCAACCAGGCCAACGGTCATCGTTGTGGACACGTCTGCAGGCTTGAAGCACGGCCCAGTGTCAATCTATTTTGTTTGCTTTGGTATATACATACAGACGTCTGCGTGTGTAACAAACATTCAATTGTTGCCGTGGAGCCATTCATTGAGGTCGTAAACTTCACTAAATCTTTGTTTGAATTGTGCTTCCATATCTACTTGCTTGTAGTATTATTGTTATTATCATAATCGTCAGTACGATCGACTAAGTATTAGGCACTACTTATAGAATGAGACACGGAGATACATGCGACTGTACAGACTGCCCGTACTCTCACTGTCGCCTCCATAAGTATGTGTTCCCTATAACGGTGAGACTATCTTAAGCGTTTCTTTTTGTCTATATACAGCTGTGAAGCATGGTATCACTAGAAATTCCTGCAGCTTCTCGATTCATCCTCGTGTGCGGGACACTTTTTCAGTTCTTAGTTAACAATTCTCTGTAACATAAGTAAGTATCCGTGTATTTCAACTTCAAGTCCGTCTTCGGTTTCGATAACCAAAATTCGTTCGACAGATGCACTAGCAGCCTATCAGCATGCACATACACAAACACACACATACACACATACATACATACACACACAGTCTGAGATCACAGCTCGTTACGACATCGCATCCGCACTTTACTCTGGCGAACCGTTCCTTTTTTTTTTTTTTACAGATTTCTGTTTTCTAACTTCATAATTAAATCAAGCCATAGTATCAAACAAAGGGCCGTTTGTGCCTGAATGAACGCATGTTCAGTGACATCAGTGGCCTATTCTAGAGCCTTCGAAACGCCTTGGTTACGATTATCAGTATTGTAGAGATTGTCCCAATAGGCATACGGCGAAGAACCGACTTTATATAAATCGGTCTCATAGTCTACTGGTCAAAATGAAGAGACTCTTTCTACACCTTGGAGCCTGATGGTATCTTTGTCATTGAAGTTCGCGGCGCAGCTGTGGGCCGGGCCATTGTTGCGTAAACATGAGCAGGATTGCAGCTCTGGGCTAATGCCGGCGGATGAGATGATTGTGCTTGTGCAGCTGACGCAAAAGCTCCACTTCGTCCACCAGCTCCACTATCTACTTTGTCACAATAATTTGACGAAGGACGGGGTTTCACCTGAAATTTGACAGAGAATCCAAAGAAGAACATTGCGATTGCTCAGTCGACCGTAAAGCCATGTGTCAAGGGAATGGAATTGGAAAAATCTAACTAAAAAGCTCTCTTAGGCAGACTTTAGAATTAATCTTAATACCACTAAGATAATTGTTTTAATTACCGTGAACTAGCTAAAATCAGTGATATATAAAGCATGTACATGGAGCACACTCATATCTATAAGTAAAAGCCTGCACGCTCGACTTAGATCATAATAATAATTTGTATCCAATGCTGTTTGTGATATACTAATGAATTCATTGTTGTCATACATGCGGCGCAGGTTCGCTAGACTGTCGCTGATGATGATGATGATGATGAACGCTCGTTTGTTGTGGTTGTTGAAGATGTCCAACGTTAGCGTAATGAGGGAAAACGTTTTGACCCGGAGTTACGTGGCCGGACGTTGACGAACCATCCACCGCGACCCCAACCCGCGAGCCCGGTCGCTCGATCTCTCGAAATACTGTATACTGCTTCATACCGCGAGTCACAATACCATAGTCGAGATGTGACTGAAATTGCATCGCAGGATTCTTATGTAGTTCACTTATATGAGCTAAAGTATAGGTAAGTACTAGATTTCATAAACATCGAGATTTTTAAACACTGAAGTTACTACCTTCTACGCACCTAGACAAACGGATCGGCTAGCCTAAAAGTTCCAAGCATCAGAGTCGGTTGATGCAATTCTACGCTATGGATACTCACGTGCGATGACCGGTTGCTGCGCAAGCTGATGCTTCGGCTAAAATGGCCAATGTCGTCGGCGCAAAACTGCGATCCCTTATGGAGGATCAGCGGTCCACCGCTATGAGGCGGTATCGCTTGGAATTGTGATATGGGTCCAGCATATCTGCTAGGGATCGGAGGAAGCGGTCTTCCGTTGGGTTGAGCTTGTTGGGCGCCATACTGGATGGAAATAAGCATCCATGATATGAAGACATTCGTGATATAACCCCATTGACAATAATATCAAGCAAATGTTTAAAATAAAATGGATTTCTAATCTGTCCTAATGATATTAGCTGCAAGTATGTGAAGAAATCACTCACAGGGTCGTAGTGCATTTGTTGCTGCTGTTGCTGCTGTAATCGCCTACCGTTGTACCACTCCTCAAGAGGCGGTGGCAGCCTTTGACTTCTATAGCTTCCCTGAGGATGACCGTTGGCCCCACTTGAGTGACTTACCAGCGGAAGACCGTTTTGATTTGGCGAAGATGCATAGTCTCCAGACGTGAGCCTACCCGATGAGCTTGGTGAGGACACCTGAAGCCGCGTTGCTGCCACCTGTGTCTAAAAAGCAACACGAAAAAAATAATTTAGGCATTTCAGCTAATCATATAGAAATCGTCAGAAATTATATAATGCAAAATTCAAATGTAATGCAGCACAATAGGCCTCAACTTTTGCAACTGGTCCTTTTTACTAATGACATTCTGTCAAAACTGCGAGGCCGGGCATTTATTCTTTATTTTGTTAGTTTTTACAGTTACTGAATGCAAAACGCCACACAGTCACTTACTCTTTCCCATTGAAATGTATGCTGCGAGCGCGGAGCTGGAAGTGCCACCCCGTGTCCGAGCGGTGTTTGCGACCCGGTTGGAGCTCCTGGTCCTACAAAATGCCCGCCTTGTCTCGTTCTCTTTTGGTCTTCAAGGAAGATACGCCTTCTTTCGGCCTCCATCGAGTGTTTATTGCAGCCGGGCTCGGGAATAGTTTTTCTGTTCTTACCGAATCTGAACATTCCTCTGAAGAAGCCTTTCTTGCGGGGTTTCTCATCAGGAGACAGCGGCGAAAACGAATCAAGTGGTATGACCCCCCGTAACGGTGTGTGCACCGCATCAGGAGACAGATCCTCATCCACTGTGATACAAACATCGGCAGACCCGTACGATTATTAGCAATCATAAAACAACTAACTCACTCCAGATGAGTACATCAAATGCATACCGTCATATCCAAAGGCATAACACATCTGTGTTATGTAAAAAGCTTCACGTTAATTCATAGCAGATGTCCGTGCCTTTCAGTGTTTTTTGCTTAGTAATATAGCTTCTCCGACTGATAGGACATCGTGTTCCACCTTTGTTTTTGTCGGACTAAGTGACTTCGGAATTCTATATTTGATGATTGGTGAAGTGAGAAGGATGTACGAAAGTCGACGTACGCTCACAAGACGTTGCTTTTGAATCCGACTCAAATACCATAGAGTGGCGTCCTCAGAACGCTCATGCATGTACACGTGTAGGCATACACGGCAATGTTTTTGCTAAATTCTTTTTGAGAACATCTTGTTCTAGGGCCTACCACGGCGAGCATGTTAAAACCACGGTACCTTTCAATGATCCGAACCGAAGTCTAAAAGGTGCCTAGAAGTATTTAGCATCCAGAAAAGGAACGACGCATTCAGTTTCCATAACATATTGGCCATTATATTTAGCATGTTCGCACCGGTGACAATAGGAACAAGGTGAGGATCAAAGCAGATAAGGGTATTCTAGGCAAAAAGCATAAGGAAGAAAAACCATAAGCCTTGATCAAAGCTGTCGCCGATTCTGAAAACTACGACAGTTGAAACTGTCTATCTATTTATTTTATTGTGTGTCCGTTACTGTCTGGTGTCTCAATAGAGATAGATGCTAATTTTGAACTAATTATACTATGCTTACATGCTGATTATTAAAACGTATTGAAACAATACACATTCATGTTTCATGTGGTCGTGTGTAGATTGTCTTTGTGAGGCGTCTCTATTAGTGGGTGTGAGGGACATAAATGCTTATTGTCCGCTGGAAGCAGAATGCTGTTACTGTTATTGTAGTCGTCTGTCAACTTGACACACCTTGTGGCAAATTCTTTCGCTTTCGCCTCTTACCTCTTTGTACACGTTTGAAGCTTTTCGTGGGTGGAGTCACTCCGTCCCATGGTGTTTGTCCCACCGTCTGTGGTAAAGATGGCGGCACGTTTTTATCAACAGCCTGTCGAAAACTGGGATTGCCTCGCTTGTGGGGTTGTTGATTGCCGCTGCTGTTAGGATGTTGTTGTTGTTGTTGTGCGCTAAGACTTTCAAGACTTGAGCTTCTCTGCATCGACAGGGGCAAACACCGAAGCGATGGTCGAACCATTCCCGAACTATTGTTGTCATGTGACATCGTCGAGGATTCGGTTCCGGGCGATTCTCCATTGGCCATTGCTGTATGGTAAGGACAGGCCGTCGGTGAAATGGGCTGGTACTTCTTAGAAGCTGTAGTAGGTATCATCGTATAGCCGTTAACGACGAATATGGTCGTGGATGACACGATATGTGTACGTCCATCGATGTTATGTTGTGATTCAATGACAATAATTTGCAATAGAACGACAGGCGCACAAGCGATTCTCGATGTTATGGGAACAAGCACTGATGTAAATGTAAACTTGATTATTAAATGCAGACGAGTAAGTTGATAAAGAACATATAGCACGGAGGACAGAATCATTAACATGCAGCGTAAGAGTAAGCTTAGCATAACTAGAAAAATAAGTCTTGCAGTGCGCCAGTGGCGCACAGCTGATTATTCGTAAAACTAGCAATAAGGTTTCTATGAATCGGAGAGGCGCGATTCTTTACAAACGAGTTAGCTTGACGCAAGAATCTACGAAGAACAGACCATCAATGCGCAATCTTTGTGATTCTCTGGCGGAGGTTGGCAGTACACGCGGAAGATACCATTATAACGTTTATTCTTGAAGAAGCATGCGAGCGTGAATTAGGAGTGGCGAATATCGTCACGAAGCTATAGCCTGTTTCACTTACATGCAAGTATACGCTTTCATTTATTATTAAAATACGTGCAATGGTAATACGGGGCATTACTGGTCATAGCATGCCAGAATACACTGAAGGAGAAAAACAAATTTCACTCGATCAGTTTTTTGCTGCGGTTGTTTCCAGGCTTGCGTTGCATTCTACGCTATTCTAAGCGATTTTTGAAGCGTTTACGTACTGCAACATGTCTGATAGAACATCTGCACTGGAAACATTGCCGGGGTACGCGGGACCAAAGGCAGCGGCCGGTGATCGACTACAGAAACAAATGGATCATCAACGCAGTAAGAATAACGGTACCAGTAGTAGCAGTAGCATTGAAGTATTGTAGTAATTGGGCAGACGAGAACAGAGTCACCGATACGACGGAGGGACAGCATCGTCATCATAGGATAAGACAATTAGGGATTCTGATTAGTTTATGGTTAGTATATACCTAAACTGAGTGGCCACGGTCCACAGCTGATCGGCACAATGCACGTAAACAGGGAGAAAAGATAAGATAGCAAGCTATTCGATTCTACTTTTATAAACTCGTGCCATATTTTCAATTAAAAAAAGGACAAACCGTCGTTCGACATTCGGCTAGCTTCTCTTTGAAGTCCCTGATAACAAGTTGTATAAAGTAGACAATGTTTGTCGCCACCGATACCTCTCATAGCCATCACCACTTGAATGTACTAATAATTAATTATAATTATTAGTAATTTACGATCCATCTTTATGTGGTTATTATTAGTATGAGAGTTAGGCTTGTCATATACAACTGCACTGCCTCTGTGATAGTTGAAGCAGGCATTATCCGCTAAGCGTGATAGGAATGCGTCTAGCGTTGGTTGATGCAAACCTTGTCTCAATAACGGTGGGATCTTCAGACAAACTTCACAGTTTTGTAATAGCTAGTTCCTATAAAAAAAAAAATGGGGCAATTTTCTGTACTTCATAGTAGCGCCTACATGAGTCACGAGGCAAGCTCTGAGTTGGTCCAAAATACATATCTAGTATCGTAATATTCTATATATTGTATGTCTAGGAAGCTGAAATGAAATAAGCTTACACTCGGGACTGGGCTTCTTGTTCTCTTTGTTGTGACCAGAATAACCACCATGTTGCTGCTGTTGCGGCGTCAATGGGAAATTGCCGCTGGTAGGACCGATGACCACGTGACCATGCGCAGAACTGTGGGCTTGATGCAGATGCAGCTGGCTGGCCGCAGCGGTTATCGAGTCCGCAGAGTTGCTACGATATATACTCGCCTCCCGGTAACCTCCTGCATCTTGTGACACTACGATAGCATTAAGTGTTACAAAGTAAAGAAAACGGCACAAGAAACGAGTTAACAGTACGAAACGAAGCAGGGTAATCTCTATGTGAACGTCACAAGACAGGAAATCGTTGCTCAAATTTATCTAGGCCCACTGTATGTAGCTACATGTTCGCGCTAATATTTGCGAATGATTCCAACTCGAAAAAAAAAACAAAATCAATGCAAATGTGCAATTGCTGCTTACTGGATCGCTGTCTAAGATCCCCTCCGCTTCGAGACTGTTGAAGGCGATGACCCGTTAGACTATTATCCTGTGTCTGTCCCGACTGACGCAGTCTCTGCTCGCGAGTTTCTTTGTTGCGTCTATAGGTGTCAGTGTTCTTGGCATCGAGGTGGGCGTGCCTTTTTTCCGACATTGACTGTCGCCCGAAACCGTCTCGAGAGAAGGCACCATCAATCGCCAACGACATGCTGCAGCACAAGGAAAGCTCGTTAAATACCAGCAATACGCATCTCTTATAGGGAATTATGCCCTAAGAGTCGCAGTGACTCGTGACAATTAGTTAAACGGAATATAATTTATATTTGCACTATTATTTATATTTAATATTCAATTAATAATTTATACTTAATAATGTAAGTTAAATATAGTTTGCCAGATATATATAAATAAATGCTTTCTACAACAAATAATTCACACAAAACCAGCAAGGCTGATATACTTGGCTGTGCGGAATATGCTTTCGATTTGTAGTACACAAAGCAAAAAGAAACATACTCGCTAGTATTAAGCTGGTCCGAGGAGGTCTCATCTGCGGCATCCCTTCCGTTTGGAGTTCGGACGCTAGCGGCATAGTCCTCGTTGAGCAAAACCCCGTTCTTCTCGAGTGCTCCCGCTGAGCTTTGGGGTGTTAGCGTCGGAGGGCTGCCACTGACCGGTGTAGGTCGTACATTGCTCCGGCCGTAAATCATCTGCTGTAATCCAACACCGACCGTACTTCCCAGTGGACTTCCTTGACTATCTAGGACCGACGACACGTCCAGCTGACCAGGTGAGCCCATTAGCTTTTCAATAACCGGATTACGTTTGCTGATCGAACCATATACAGACTCGTTTCGCCGATCGCGATCCTGTGGAGGGGTCACGGTTCCGTTAATGAATCCACTTGAAGTTGAATTTGGCGGGTATGGTGACGGCGCTCCATATGTCGCAGTCTGACTGACGTTTTCTTTGGAATCAGTCATCGAACTAGAGCCAGAACTCGTTGAAAGGAATCCCTCTTCAAATTTCAAGTTTTCTTCGGAATCAGCGCTTGGCAGACGCCGCGCAATTGTCAATCGAATATAGGGACCATCCATTTTGAACATAGAATGCCGAAGGGTATCCATTGCCTCGGAATTCGTCTTACCCAAGAGGCTTTCACCGTTGATTTTCAGGAGTTGATCATTAGGTTTAAGGCGACCGTCCTTCGAGGCGGCTCCACCATGTATTACGGATTTAATAAACAGGCCCATGTCTTGCGATTGTCCACCTTCATTTGTTGAGGTCTTGCCCTTGACAGAAATTCCCAGACCAGCAGAGCCTGTGTCCGTTGGCGAAATGTCCAACATAACGATGTGTCTCTCCTTCCACGGGTAAATGCCCACCTCATCTGGAGGAGCGTCAGCTTTCTCCGGAGGCTGCAGCATTAAAGATCATATTAACATCTTATATAGATAAATAACATTCTTAAGGTTATGATGAGGAAGAAATGTGAAAACTCATTAAAATGAGTTTTTACATTGTATGAAGGTTTTGTACAAGAGTAATTTAGATCATTTATTTGTTGATAGTTTTAAAATATTCACCTGGATGGCTACAAAGCAAAGGCGCCGTTAAATTACTCATCTTAGTGATATGTAACTCTGAACTACTGAAATGAATTCACTTACGATTTCCCTGGGCAGGTTTTGCTCGAGACATTCCTGTCGCGACACGACAAGGTGGACGCTGCTACCTGTGGGGATAGCCCTGAGCATGGCCACAACCTCCGGTTGACTTTTGCCAGTTACCTCAATGCCGTTAACTTCTAGAAGACGATCACCTGACCGCAGCCGGCCATCCTGAATAGCAGCTCCCCGAGGCAGAATATTTTTGATGTAGATAGGCGCCAAACCAGCGGAAAGATTATCTCTCGTCGTTAGGCTAAAGCCGAGGCTATCTTCCCCCTTAGTAAGTTCGATGTTCACCTTTTTGCCGATCTTGCGCGTGTTGGCAGCGTTCAACGCAGCCACTCGTCCTGGAGTAACGCCTATTGGCATTTCCTTTTTAGGTGTTGAAGTACTCTCAAGTGAGCTGTCCGTTCGCTCAGGTGTAGCGCCATCGCGCCGGGTGGTCTGGGATGTCTCTGGAGGAATGGCAGGTGGGACTTTAGTTACGGGCGACGTTGGCAAGGACAAGCTCTTGCCCGACACCTTAATTACAATCTGGGGGTCGTCCAATGTTGACCGGAATACGTCTTGTGCGTCTTGGAATGACAGTTTCAAAAGACTTTTACCGTTTACTTCAACGATACGGTCGCCCACCTGCAAACGGCCGTCGCGATCGACACGACCTCCCGGCTCGATGTTCTGAACTACCAGGCCTAGCCCTTGGAGTCCTGGATTGGTTTGCTCGGGCACAACGTGAATGCCTAACGGCCCATTCTCGCTAGGAAGGACCACAACAGCCTCTCGGTTTCGGTAAGCATCGTTGCTCCAACCTTGTGTGGATTCCATGGTGGCGAGTGTCCGGTCAGCTGCCTCGTACCATTCATAGGCGCTGGCCAACATTGACCTTCGGTTAGCGTTACGGTTAAAGTTACCAGTCGTCCTTCGGAATATACGATCGTCATCCTCTGAATCATCTGTTCGACCCATTGTGTCCTGTAAATCCAATACGCATAGAGGTTTGCATTAGGTACGATGCATAAGTGGAAAAAGTTCAAAGTTAAAGGTCAAAAATACCTAGGTTAATGATACGATAGGATATACATTTTTAACTAAAACTAATAATGGGCAAGCAGTCCAGGAACCTGAGGGTGTGGTTTGCATAAAAATAACTCCCATTAGATTCCACTGCTATATGAATCGTTCTACACGGAAAGCACAATTTTGCTGTGTTTGTGTTGTCGTAGGATAAGTTAATCCGGTTATCGACAGAACTGTCCTGACAAACAAGCAACCCCCATAAAACTAGAGCTATTAATGCAGGCAAGAGAAGAACAGCTACGTAAATACGCCATCCCACACCTGTTACTATTTTTCGATATTGACCTTAGCGAACCAGAGTGAAAATCATTAACGTTTCTTAGTTGATTAACGTCAATACGCCAGCCAACCTAAACAAACAGCACGATACTTCCTTACGGTATCTCGACAACTTCACGGCCACTCGTATGGCTGCGATCTATCCATAGCGATAGACGATGAGCTCGTGCCGTCTGGCAGACGGTTGAGCTGATTCTATGTGCCTAGAGCACACGGGGTCGTTCGAGTTGTGATATCGAATGTACAATCTATGGATTTTACTAGAGTACGTTATTCCACCATTCAGTTGATACCAGTATTAGGCGCAACCTGCGACTTTCACAGCCCATCGACGCCAGCGACGCTGCATGGAAGACCGTAAGCGTGATAGCGTCGAAAGACGTCTATTGCGCCTCTTTGTAGGCAAAACAAATCACGATGATCGTGATGACGCCAGAAAAGCTGCATGAAATAGTTAACCACAATAAAATCATAACAACTACAATCCAGATTTACAAAGTTATGGAAAAGGATATAATATTATAATTTTGTCGTAGTAGTAAGATTGTTTTTCCGCACAGATGGCTTGACTCAAAAGAAATAGGAGTTGTTTGACCTATTCGTGAGCGATAATAGTGATAAGTTTCATTCATTCCCAGAATGAGAATAGCAGAAACACGTATAGCGGTACTGGCATTAGATTTAATTCCGAATTGAATAATAAATAATATAATAATAACACACCGAATATCAAATACAGGCCGATCTGTCTACAGCAACTTTCAAAATGTTGGCCATACATATAAATGGGTTATTTACCAATTGCCTATCGACAACGATCTCTCCTTATAGGACAATGATGATGAGAACCCTTTGAGTATGGAAACCTTACGATACCTTCTAAGCATCGACCGATTTATTTTTTCGAACAACACCAATTATAATCGCTACACGAAGTCGCAGAAAATAAGCTAACTACTCTCATTAAAAACCGAAGGAATATCAAGAGACTGAAGTGTATTCTCAGCATATGTGTCGTCTGCTTTTAAACAAAACAATAACAATAGCTGATTTCTCGTGTCAAGCTAGTTGCTCAAGATAAGCCCGATTCGACCGATCTATTTGGGTCCGACAAACAAACAGATAAACGTGCAAAGACGAAGAATATAGCTCGTATAAACTCTATTCACGCCATTAGACGATGAGTCATCAGTGTCGTTCGAAGCGTTCGCTTTTTAAGCCGACTAAATATCTAATTCAAGTCTATGCAGGTTATTAGCTAGTTCACAGAACGGCAAATTACGCGCGTTTTCTTTTTACATTTTGGGCTATTTTTACTCTGTGAGCAATTTCCTGGAATCATTTACGCACGTCTATGAATGTCTAGGTGTATGTAGAGATAGCACTACGAACGCGTTCATTGCGTGCGTTCTCGTCGTCGCTAAGATAGCGTGTACGACGGCGAATACGATACTAAGGCCATACTAACAAAGCGAACTTGGCGAGAATTTTTTTCTGCCGTTTTACTACATTCTGTATCACTAAATGTTTATTTGATTCTCTTGACCATACTACAGAATATTAAAGCACAGCTGATGCGTAGCCATCGCCGCCGATGGCCGCTGAGATGAAGCATTGCTAGCAGAACACATTGCCAAGAGGTCGGGCCCCTCGTTCGTCATCGATCCGAAGAGAAACTTTTCGCTATCTGCGACAAAGCCAAATGGGCTGAAATGGAATCTCTACGCAAATTATCTGGTCGGTAATAGCAACGGAATATAAAGGCATCAAGGAACTGTACATTTGATCCCGATATTAAAAACAAGATTTTTTTTTTCATTACGCAAGCGTCAAACTATCAGATTTTCACTGAAGAGGTTTTAAGATGAAGTCGTTCTCTCTTAACAGTAGATAAGATCTAACTCAGGCTCAAAAAGCTGCTAAGAACTGCCATCCTGCTTACGCTACTCAATTTAATAATTTACTAAACAGTTTAATGAATCACAGTTCTTAAATCAGTTTACTATTTTCTTCCACCTCAAAGATTATGTAGTACGTCTCGGTGAAATTTTCGGGCATCGTCGTTAGGTCTTTCGGCTGATTGTCAGCTAGAAGAACGCATACATCCTTAACTGCTCATCCATTCTCAACGCTTGACGAGATAAAAAATACCGTGACGCTGTAAATCTCTTACGAGCACTCTCGAAAATATCTGGGCGGTCCGTCCAGTTATTATTACACTACAGTCTTGTCCTTACGCAAATTGCACAATTATAAAGGGAAAAGTATACATTATTCTAAATCAAAGTTTATCCTAATAAAACAGTTTACTGAAATGTTGATGTTATTAAAACCAAAGAAATATCACTAACGTTGTGTTTGTTTCTCTATTACTCACCCTATGCAAACTTTGACTGCGCCTCCTGTTGTATCTGTTGGTGCTACTGAGAGCCATCAAATTCGTAGACGGTGATTCAATAAAGACCTTATTGTCGTTGTTATTGATTCCGGCCGTATCCATAACGAACGTATTATTTCTCGTTGCTACTGCTGCTGCTGCTGTTGTCGTCGTCGTTGTCGTCGTCGTTGTTGTTGCTTTCACAAGACTAATGTTATTATTGTTGTAAGGCTGATTGCTGCTATTCTTAACATTGTTGTCGAGACGGTTTTGATTTTGAGGGTTTAAGTTGCCGTGGCCAGGATTGTTGTTGTTATTGCTGCTGAGAGCTTCTTCGGGGACGACAGCCGCGGACCATCTCTTGCCGTGATTCTCAAGAGAAGCCACGCCATGTCCCTCGCAGCCGGAGGGCCCAAGTGGGCCTCCGGGAGTGCCAAGACTCAACGCCGGCTCGCTACCGCGCCGAACATGGAGCGAAGACGTTCCTGTAATTAAATGGAATGACAGGAAGCGGCAGAGGCAAACACACAACGCATAACGAAACTTAATGTTAGGCAGTTTTCCATTGCGTTACACAAAGCAACACCTCTGAGACAGAGAGGAATGTATACGTTTAGTGCAAAACTTCAACAATCGGTTGTAAAAATATCAACTCCGAAGCTAAAGCAACTAGCCCATAGACTATGTATAACATCACGGCATGGAAACCATTGCGACACAATTGCTTTCGTGTAAATCTAACGTACACATGTAGGCATCACCGTTTTCCCGACTCGAAACCGTACTCAAGACCTATACAACTGAGTAAATCGCCTCGTTGAGTAGTGCAACTGCAGGCTGGCTGAAAATATCCGTGCGATCGTCGTAATATAGACATTTCATTCTTTCTTGTCCTTTGTTTCTCTTTTGCCCTCGATGACATGAAAGAAGGTTGCCCAGTTTCCTTTGAATAGAAAAAGCGTAGGCTCGTGCCACATTAAGCCCTTGTTAGGCTTTTCTTGACACAGGCATAGAGCAAACAGTTTCTCTATTAGAAGAATGCACCGCGTAATGGCGGTCCTGCCTGGAACGTAACAATCCTAGAACAGATTCTCGCACACGGTTGACTCGTCGCTGCTAATGCAGCTCGAGGTGCGACCGGTCGCGGAGCTTAGGCGATAATGCGTTTGGTGGTGACTCTTAAAACAAAGTATGATTGCTTTGCTCAGTGAGGCCGCTTACTTCGTGGCCGGTTGCTTAGAACACGACTGGGCATGAAGCGCCCTGCGTGTAGATTTGCTCGCTAATCCAAGGACTATTGCGCCGGAGAAAGCATGGTATTCGAGGTAGAGATACCTGCTCGGCCCGAAACACACAACCGATCGCCTTTGTAAATTTGATAAATTCAAGGTACGCAAATACTGAAACCAGTGTATGCATACGTCCTCGTAGATATTCTGCTAGGTCGTTCGAATAGATGTTAATTTCTAAAACAAAGTCTCTCTTAGTACGTGGTACGAATGGTTGGCAAAACTGTAAAATGATGGTGAAAAACAGCAAGTATACACACGCGAAAGTATTGATCATTGCGAGGCAATGACGGTAGGTTCATAGAAGCCTCTCTATCTAGGATTGGAAGATTAGAGTCGCTTTAGCCAACTGAGGAGGGAGCGGCCGTGTTGTGCAGTTAGCTTGGGCTAAACTCCTTTAATGTGACTAAACACGTCATTTGTTATCCCGTTGAGGTACAAGCTTCCTGCTACAGCCATTAGGCTAAAAATCCAACCCATTCTCAAGACGTACATCAAAGTATATAGCTAAATCACAATGCATGTCGAACTAGAACTCATGCTTCAAAATCTAAAACTTGAGTTGTCACGCTTTAGCGGGTCACGTTGCGTCTACGTTGCGAGTTCGGTAAAGTGTTACAACTGAAAAAGATAGTGGCCCATGTAATGTTTTGTCATGACACATATTTGAAGAACAGTTGGAATGTCATGTTATGATTCGACGATCTTCTAGAACTTGCCGTTCGTAATATACATGAATGTTTTCAATGATCAGTCGATATATTCGCTAAATTCTTCCTATCTGGCCAGCACTAAGCGTTTAGTCAATAGGCGAATGTCGAGCACGCATTGCATCGTAACTTCATTGTGTGTTCATCTTACCACTGAAAATTATAGATACAGCAAAGGAGCGGGCCCGAAAGCGTTTTTATATAAAATATCCACATTATATTAAATCTCTTTCGGGATGTGCTTCCCGAGGCCCAAGCGTTCGGCAAATGGACCGGAGACGCATTATCGTCATTTTTTTTTTTTACAGCATACTTCACTCTCTGCCGATTCTCGTAACGCATAGAAATTTTTCCCAAATGTTCGCTTGTGAGAATAAGATAGGTCAAAAGTTTCCGATGTGAAAAACAAGCTCCTATGGTACATATGAACCAGATAATATATGAAAGGATATCTATATAAAAAAAAAAAAAAGCTCCGTTATTATTCGACACTTAACCACCCAATCATCGTCCGGCGAAGATTCCAAATAGCATTTTAAACGAACATCTATAGCATCCCACATTCCTTGAGTGATTATTATTGAAACAAAGGAGATTTTCTCTACGAAGTACAATGACAGAAAATACATCCGATATCCAATTAATACATTTCAACAATGATATCTAGCAGGAGTTAAATCTGTAAAGATACTACAAACTGCGCAAATGTAGCAGAGTACATATTTTCTAAAATATAATCGTGTGATTTTTAGATAAACCAACAGTTTTGTTTGTGTTCTGTTGCTTGCTATTGCTGAGAACAGTTTGTTTTTGTAAAAAAATTATACTTTTTACTTTGGCCATGTATATTTAAGGCCACAAATTTACTAACCGAGTGACAGTTTTTCATCTACAGCGGCATTTGCAGTAGTCACATTTCCATTATTATTGTTGTTACTCTGGTGATTTTCGATGAAAAGATCAGGGCTTTCGGTACCAGCAGAACTTGCACTCGTGCAGTCGCCAGTCTGATGCGCGACCGGGCTAACTGAACTTCCCGAGGAGCCCTGCTCGGCGAACAAAGCTATTAGATTTTCCCGATCGTCGCAAACATCGCCAACGAGATCATCTTGATCGAGGATGGCATCGTCCTTATACGACTTTACATTGTGTACGCTCACCCACGCGTCCGCCGGCTGAAAACAGCAATGACAAAAAAAGGGAACTTGACTGTAATTCAGTATTAATCACTTACCGGACAATACGTCAATTCGTTTAGGTGTTCTACCCGTTAGAACTAGTCAAACTTAAGCTCTCGTTTACTAAACACAATGACAGAAAATACATATTTATACAGCGCATCCGATTAATATATTTCAATAATTATATCATTCAAGGATTAAATCTGAAGAGATGTTCTAAACTGCACAAATTATATAGCGTAGTACATATTTTCCAAAATACATAGTCGTGTGATTTTTAGATAGACCAATAGGATTTTGCTTGTATTTTGTTGTTTGCTATTGCCGATAAGAGTTTATTTATCTATTATATATTGTTTATAGCGTATTGTATATTATATATATAGCATCCGTGCAGTTCACTGTCAAATGGCGCCTTGTTTAAATCAGGATCATCATCCTTCATTGTCTATTATTGTGTGTTATTTTATCCTGTAGCCATTTACTACCCCTAAACAACTGTGTCCTAAGCTAGCATAAGCGGCAAATGAAAATGCTAGAGAGAGGAAAACCATGTTTGCGTATCCGAAGGCTTGCGCGCTATTTTGCACATCGCCCAACAAGTCTCCTGTAATAATAAGAAAGGTACGACACGAACGTGTTCTTCATTTACATCAATTACGATCGTTCTGTAGCTTTTGTATCGCTGATCAGGAAGACCTTCGTCGCATTCGGATGACTTTACCGTTGATGAGGAGAGAACACAAGCTGGCGCTATAGTGACTTCTATAGGAAGAAGGCGCGCATTGTTCAAATGTCAAACGTCGAAATAGTTCTCATTGCAGCTCCAGGTGGCGCAGACGAAATCCCCAGATCGCCGACGACATGAAGACACCGCCATATAAAAAGGTCTTATTTCACTGCGGAATTTTCCTAAGCAGGCCAAACGATCTATCATCGACTTTTTGTCTACTCTAACAGAGAACGATACTTTTATTATGAAACTATCGGTAATTGTAAGGCATTCATTCTAGCCCACTGGCTGACCGGAATGACAAGCCGTGAGATTTCACCTAAGAACAGCCGCCATGATAAAACTAGGCGCTTGTGCCTTATAAGCGAACCTTTGTGCTACCTGCGAAATCTAACATGCTACAATTGATGGCAGTTCAATAAAGCACCGTCGTCTTGAAGAATAGACCATATCGGGACCATGTGCCCCACTCTGGGCATGATCCATCTCTTAATTTTGTTACAGCTCATGAAAAAATGCTCGGCGAATCTGTGATAGAATTAGCGATCAGGGAATCGATTGATTACATACGGGGTTGCTGTCAGCAGGTTTAGTGTTTATTATGCCACAACGGTGTGCCAGCTTACAATCGTATAGGTAATTTTTTGGCACTCAGAACACAAATGATGTCTACTTGTACTGACAGGCATAGATATATGAGCATTTAAGTTAAAAAAAAAACCTACAAAAAAGCAAATACTTAACGTTGTATTCCTGTCAACACTGACAACTGAATAAATATAGAAAGCCGAGGCCAGGTCAAGCGTAGTAAACATTCGTATGTGTCGATTTGTTAGCTTGCGTGCGTAATGCAAACGCACCGCATTTTTCTGCCCAGGTTTCACACGCTTGACCTATGCCGTATCAACTACATCGTTCGCTTTCTGCTATCCTACTGCTAAACCGTTACTGCTCGATTGCGAACTAAACACATAGTAACGTATTGACAATGTAAATCTTGCAAGCGATCTAGCTCATTATTATTATTATATCTGGTACAACTATTGTCCCCGTCACTGCATACACATTCCCATCGGAGGAGTCATCCACCCAGGACAACCACTTTTCATCCAGCATTTCGTTGCAGGTTGGAAAATAAGCTGCTAGATGACACTCCGTCCCTGTTAATGCACAATTATGTTAATAGCAATAACAATCATAAAGTCACTTTTTTTACTTACATACGTTGTGTAGTTGTGTGTATTTTTGGCGGGACTTAAAGCAATGACCCCCTGGTGTTATTCACAGGCCGTGGAAGCCGCTGCGTCGCCAACGACAGCATTGAATTCCAATAATTATGTCGTTTACGTTTGTCAATGTTCCACCCTCGCAGCAATCAGCTCTATTTTAAAAGTGGTAATAACCGTTTACCCTTTGTGGGACAAGAAACGTGCGTAAATATGGATGTTTTTGGATCGGACTGCCCTGTATATATTGTGCGCAGACGTTCACAGCGACAATTGTTAATCTTGTTGAAACAACTGTTTTTGTAAAAACTCGTAAGCTATGTGGTGTCTGACGTCTGGCAAACGTATCTCATGTATAGGTATTATATAGGCATATTAGGTAAAATGTTAGCTAAAGAATCTTTGATATCTCTTCAGACAACTGTCTCATTCGAAGGTGGTTATCAGACAGGAAGTGCGTGAGCTTAAGATTTTAGACACAAAAGACAATTTCCTTGGTTACCCAAATTGAATCTGTCAAATGTTATGAAGTAGCAGACACCGACAAACATCTTTTCATGACAGTTAGAACAACTGCGTAAAACTCGTCCAAAGATAAAACCCAGATAAAATACTCCAACGCAAGGATCGATTTTGTGGTAGCATGCGTCAACTAAAAAAACCATTATGATGGTAAGTTCAGATATCGTGCGACGCTCTCCAACTTGAAAAGGAACTAATTATGTAAATGTTAATTGAAAAAGAAGCTCCTCTAGGTCGAGAACAGTTAAGCGGCTTAATAATGACAACGCTTTGTTCAGATCGACAAAATTTAGATTTAACCAAAAACGAATCGACCCCCGAAAGATACTGGTGTGATATAACATAAATACGAATACTAATCGTAGGGGAATTACAGAGCCATAATGGCGACCCTGTGAAATTCATCGGTTACTATAATAACTATAAAACACACATGCTAGAGGTTATCCTGGCTGGCCAATTTTAAATGAAAATTTCTCTCGGTTAACGTGCATTTTTCTTTGATTTGTACCCCTGTGTGCATTTACACAGGCCCTTCGTATAAATATCCACAGTATGGTGACGCCGCCTTTACGACAATGCTGGTAGATTTCGTTATCATGCATTGTCGTCTTTTTTTTTTTTACTGGGCTCAACACCGGTCGGTAAGTTGAGTGTTAAGAGATTTTTTGACTGATAACGGCGTGATGGTTCGCGTATCTGCCTGCTAAACTTGAAGGACACGTGATCAGGACTCGAGTTCGAGCATAGACGCACTCTGTTTTGCTGGGAGCCAACCCACTAATCGAACTTGAAGCTTGAAAACTCGATTTATTGGTTCGGTGATCTTTTCCTTCTACATCGTCGAGATATATTAAAATGTTCTCGCGTCCACCTTAGCATACCGTTTCTGGTGGATCTTTAATTCTAAAAGATTACTTGTTCCTCAATTCTGATACTTCATTGCTTGCTGAATAATGTCTAGCCTCGCTGGCCTAATACATGGCAAGGATTGATTGCTAGGCTTTTTAAATATAATTCACTGTACTGTGGTTCGAGTAAATTCGAACTGTCGATATCTTCAGGATACCGTTGAGGCTTGGCCTTCTCGCTAACAGCTTTCAATTAACATTAAGCGGCAAAACAGGATTTTTATAAAAAAAAATCATAAGGCACCTCTAGCGGTAGTAGCTCTAGCAAGTCGCGAAGCTACTACGATTGTTGTGATCATCTGTGTTAACAGCGGTCAACAACATACGGGACATTCAATAAATCCAAAACCCGTGGATTAGTGGACTAGCAATGTCGCGATTTTACTCTCACCGTGTTTCTTTTAATGAATTGAACAAATCTTCACATAGTCGGTTCGAAGATATCTGCTCTTTACTAGACCATCAGAAGCTTGACCTTTAAATTTAACGAACTAACGTAAAAGGGAGCTCCTTTTTGCTCTATAAACGACAAAAGATTCATTACATTTATTTACTGGCTTCTTGCATCAGGTTTACGTGTTACAGTTTACCTCGACGTAGACACCTACTTGGACGTGATTGCTCTTTGCACCACGCTTTAGTTCCATATATCCGTTGACTTTGTACCTTGTCGATGCATACCAAAAACTGCTGTCTCTATATATGGACTCCAATTGTCAAAGAACAGCTTATGGTCAGGAGCACAAATTTTGTGAAGAAAAGCGAGCGAATCTAGACTTCTACGACCTCGAATTCATTAGTTCCCGTGACAACACAGTTGATAACATACTCGTTAGCTAAACATCCAGGTTTAAATACGCTTCGTTTTGAGCTGGCAGGAGTTAATCATTCGAAGTAATCCCAGGTGTCGCCGTTCTGCCAGTGGTGTCGTTGCTCAAACGGTCTTGTGTACGTAACCGTCATTTTAATTGAATAAGCAGTTTTTCTTGCCCCTTTTTTGATGATTAATATTTAAATTTCGATATAAGAACATCTGTGAGTTAGCTCATCGCGAGCTTTCGAGCGGCACTAAGATCAGGCGCCACGCATTGACTCTCGCGTGAAAAAAGGACAATTGATCAGGAGGACAATTCGCAAGGATAGAGCTCGCCCAAATAACCTTCGAATTTTGTCATACATACCCCAGACTAAACAGCCCAAGAAAATGCATCCCATAGTCAAGCAGGCATCAGCAGCACTAATAATCAAACTTGGTTGATTGATAAATAGCAGATATTTAGGTAAGGCAAGCTTTATTATTTCATAAACGATAAAATATATGCGAAAGAGAGTACGCTTCTGTAAACTAGCTCGAACGATCAAAAAATCGTTTTGAGAAAAAAAATAATATACTTAAGTAAGTCCTCATGGAAATTACTTTAAAAAAATATTCCGCTTTTCCTCCAAAACCCATATTTCTAGATATATTACACACTAATAATGTTCTATGTTTATTTAAGTCAGCCGATTCATTCTTACGATGGCGGTAGTGTCACTAGTAATGCAAAAAAGTTTACTGTTGATATTCCATTCACCTAAAACTCAATAGTTCCGCATATGGTA